CAAATTACAGTTATGTATCTTAATTTAGTGCTTAGTTATGGCTCTTTAGTGTATGTGTTTATGTGTTTTCGCTTAACGGCTGCTTGTGGGCGTGGCAATGGACCGATGACCATCCGCCATACTAACTCTCCTTGAAGTCTTCATTAGCATATCATAATTTTTACTTAAATTATCGCTTGCAAGGACAAACAGACGGACGGACCGACAGACAGACAGTCACTCGGAATTCAACTCGTTTCGTCACCCTGATCTTTTATATATCTCGAAGTAATTATTGTTTTTATCGCAAGACTTGCTCAGCTTTTGAAAAGCATGGTAGCAAACTGTTTTATAAATCAGAAATGTGCTAAGGATCAAGTTCTGAACAATGACGCTTTAAAGCTATTGTGGCCTAGCTAATCGAAACAAGACGATATGTATAATTATTATTTTATATATTATTAATACAATAGCAACAATAAAAGCAGTTAAAAATTTAGGTCGAAGCTGATTTTTTACTTAAAAAATGTCTTTAAGGGACACACTTAGAGTGACGGCTACAAAAAAAGGCAATTTTTGGGAATTAAAAAAAATATTGTATAAATTATTTTAAACTTTGACATATTTTAAAAACACATAGTTGAATTTTTGAAGAAAAAAATAAATATTTTCCGAGTTGGCCGACGGCGCAAAAATAAAAGTTCTTCACTGCTGTAGTGATTTCGGCATTGTCCGTGGATCAACCTAAAATAAAAAAAACTCGACTAATAGATATTGTCCGTACAATGATCTTATGATCGAAAAAAATCACAAGTTGACAAAATGGCGGCGTTTGGAAAAAAAAAGTTGCATTTTAGTCAAAAATTTGGTCGTGTTCGACCGCCAAAATGCGATTTTTAATCAATTAAAATTCTAGTGGGTCAATGTATATTTGATAGTGATCGGAGTAATTACTCAAGCGATTTTGAAAAATGTAGTTTCGAGAGAAACGTCTTTACATAAATATGGTATAACATAAACAGATTGGCTACACTTGACTATTGACAGCTACACTTTAAGAGGCTACAACTCAAAATAAATTTGAAATATTCATTTAAATTTTTAGTATGCTATTTTTCAAGATATAGACTATGCAATATGCAAGAATAAAAATATTAAGTTTTTTTTTTTTAAATTTCACACTAGAAAAAAATACATTTTTGAAAATATTTATGTAGCAATATTTTCTTAAATGCATTTTTTCTATGCAAATCATATATAAGTTAATTAAATTTCGCTCACTTTAACGCTTTTTTAATTATTTCAATAATTTCTATCAAATACAACATTACAAAATTATTTATTTCTTATTTATTTTTGTCTCAATCCAGTTTCTGTGCAAATTTACGACTTTGTATCAAAAAAGCATCTGGCAAACGATATACATACAAGTACATACATATTCCTACATACTATGAGCAGATATACACATCTCCATTTGTGCTTTGCAATATTTTATTTAATTATTTCATAGAAAAACTGATGCAAAAAGCAACGAAAGAAAAACGATAGAAAGTCAGCATACTTCACACCAGCAATAATAATAATAACAACACGAGCAGTAGTGACAGCAATTATGTGCGACTATATAATGGCTAGCAATGTACAAGCAACAACAAAAATGGTAAACTTATATGTATGGGTGTATGCATGTAAATGTCTATATTTTTGATATGTCTGCTGTGTAGCCAACAATAATAACAAAAATAATAATAACAACAATTATAATGCCGCCTCTGCAGCTGCCTCAGCAACGCATTGTTGATAAGCGGAAGGAAGTTAATTTTGCATATAAATAGTGAAAGGCATACAAATCGGTTGATAACAAACTGAAGGCTTTGTGTTCTTCTAATTGCTGCTGGCATTTCCATGTTTCAGCATGCCTTTATTATACGATTGCATGGTGTTTGTTTGGTTTTGCTTTATGGAACAGTAAACAAATTGGAAGCAAAAGTGATACCAAAATTAGAAGCATTGTGATATGCTATGCTGTTGCATGATAAAAGATGGTGAGACATTTGTAATCAGTGCAGCATATGAGACGTGCTGTCCGATATATGAATTTTGAACAACACAAGGGAAATGAGAGAATAAAATACTGTAGCTGTGCAAATATTATACATAGTTATAAATGTAAAAGAAAAGCCATTTTGTTGCTAGAGAGCTGAGCTAGTTTCTATGTGGAAAAATGCTATTCTTTTTTAAAATAAAATATTTAATTTTAAGTCAGGATAAGCAACTATGCTTGTCAAATTGTAAAGGGGCCGTATGTCAGCAAGAACGCGCCGAATATAATCTTCCAAGGCGTCAATCGTCTCGGGTGACTTCACATAACCCTACAAAAAATAGAACAGGGATGTTAAATCGCACGATCTTAAAGCCCACGCCACCAAAAGTTTCCTACAATAAATTGATTGTTTCGTTGGCTGTATGGCATGTAGCGCTGTCTTGTTGGAACAGTTGAAAGAGCGAAAAAGTCATTATCCATGGCTCTATAGTCCCATTGAGTTTTTTTAAGAAATATGAACTAGTGATTCTCTTCGCCCATAGAGCACATAGAGTTGGATCTAAATCTACCATAAAGTGGATGAGCACTGCTCCAATTGTCCAAATTGCGCATTGGCGGATAGACTCATTTGGGTCTTCTTCGATAATCTGCTTCACAGTAGCAATAGCGTCTTCGGTGCGCACTCTATTGTCGACCCTGAGGATGCGCATTATTAACTAGAGTAAACGTGATGCGAAACCGATCCATAATTGCTCAAATTACCGATTCTGCGGTACGATTATGTCGACTGAATATTGGACGCAGTGCAGTTTAAAAGAAAATGTTTTATTTCTGAGCCGTTTTTGGTGTTTTAGTGGCAGAAAACATTCCTTAAGAGGGTATTCTAGTGTAGAATTTATATACTATCAAAGTTTAACTATTTTAGAAGATGTCTACGAGAAGATTTTTTATTGAATTTAAATTATTTTCGGTGATATAGACATTTTACTGACCCGGCCTCCAAACTGGTTCGGCTAGGTCTAATCGAACAAAGGACTTTACGCGAAACTTTAAATGCGTTTTTCTCAGACCAGACTTTTTCAATACAATACCCACGATTTCTCGAGTTCCACTGGACTGATATACTTGAAATGTTCAGAGAATCTTCTTACAAGACCTCTCTCGTGTATGAACTAGCCTCATCCTCTAATTTTAATTTTTACTATATTTAAAAAATACGAAAACATAAAAAAATGGCAAAATAATCGTTTTTCTTTTCAAACAGTCGCCATTTTGCCAAAAAAATTTCTTTTACTTATCGCTAGTTCATATAATTGCGACATCATTACAGATTGATAATCTTGTTTTTCATTTCTGATGACTAGAAGGGTTGAAATCATGGGTATGCTCATGTGCCAATATTTTGAGACTCCCACTTCATCAGCTGCCAATTTTGTAAATTTTTAATTGTTTTTTAAATTTTTTTCTGTACTCTTGTGCATTAATAAATAAGTGATAAAAAAAATCGAGAGTAAAAATATTGATTGCCTTTTTTTACGGCACTTTAAAAATTACCTAAAATTCATGTCTCTAGACTAGAATACCCCCATAACTAGTTTTGAAAAATATTGCTGAGTTGACAGTTTTTGTTCAGATAAAAATTCGTTTACGTTGTACAACAATATAATTGTGCCTAATATCAAAAAATTTTATACAAAAAAAAAAATTTATAAAAATAAATAACTTTTGTAAATAGTAACTGCATTAACTACTCCCAGATGTGGGCAAATTAATATTGTCTGATTTCCAAAAGATTTTAGGAGGCACATACAGAAATACATATACGGCCATTTATATTGTAGGGAGAATTAGTAGTAATCTTAGAAGCTTATTTTACAGCGCCAAATACAGCGCGTCATGGATATTCGGCTTTACGTCAAAATTAAGGATTAATAAGGAGAAGAGCTCGTCGCAAATAAACTTTTTCAGACTGATTGTTGTTAGCGCTTCAAATGAAAAACAATCAGTGAAAAAGTCGCACAAGCACAGTGGCTTTCCAACACATGTTCGGAACATTGGAACTAAATACATGCGAGTGAAGAGTTAGCATAACTCGTTTACTAATTCATTGTCCGAATGAAATGGACCTAATATTTCTGCTGGGATCTAAATGATTATGGATTTTAATGGTAACAACTTCTAGGTATATAATCTAAGATTAGAATATATAAATAAAACACCGACATGTCACAGCTCCCTCACATCGCTTATAATAATATGTACATGCAGATAAATATACATACATAGGAATATAAGTATATATACCGGAGTATGTACAATATATAGGTGTATGTACAATATATATGTAGGTGTATTGTCTACATGAAAACATTGATTACAAATTATAAGTATCCAAAAGTGACGAGATAGCAGATAATAAGCGAGCTGTCAACCGATTAGTCTACCTGTTATCAGTCATTTAACAAGCCGTTGTCTCATACCAATGTAGAGGCGTCTATAACTTGATTGCGCTTAGCCGAACAAGGAATTTGTTTGAAGAAACGCAAATATTATACAACATATAAAATTGTGCCTGCAAACGCATCTAAAGAAATTATATGAACAACACAACACTGTTCTTGGATGGCACAGAAATAGCCACATAATACATATATATTCGTACATATAAAATAAGATAATTTATTTTACTAGGGCTATCTTAAAACACATATTTATATAGCACGTTTCCATGCATAGATATATATGTACATTGATATGTAAATAGCTGTGCAAGTTAAGTAAACAGTCAGAAAGGAAAAGTCTGGCCTTGGCTTGGAAGATGGCGCCTTTTATACAAGTGTGGTCGTGTCTTTTCAAACAATGAACTACAACAAGTAAGTTCTTGTGTGACAGTGTAACTTATTTTTTCGCTATATTTTGTCTACAATATAAATTGAATATAACAACTAGTAATGTATGTATGTATATAACTCACCTGTGCCATTTGTGGCTTGCGATTGAAATCGCGTGGATCCATACTGTTGGCATCCAAATAAATGACCAAATTGCAAAGTAAGACACCATCGCGTAGCGTCAAGGCAAGGACGCGTATTTCTGAATCTGGCCAATTGGCTTTGTGATCGGGTGGAATAATTTTGCAACGCGTTAACCATGCAACACACTCGCGCCACAAATCATTATTTCCGACACCACCACTACCAGCACTACCGCCGCCAGTGGCTCCCAAAACACCGCCACTACCACCACCACTACCGGTACCGCTTTTGTTACTTGGCAAAGCCATGTTGCTGTTGTATTGTAATGCAGTTGAAATCGACTGTTGTTTTTGTTATTGTTATTTGTTTTACTATCTTACTTCCCACCACTTTGTGAAGTAGTACTGATAATATGTTAACTGTATTTTAAAATTGTTTTTATTATTGGGAGATATGCTCGATATTTGTTTACAGTTGTGCGTTTTGGCTTATATATTTTATATATACATATGAATGTATATGGATGTATATGGAGAAACACTTTAAATTCTTTTACTGAACAACGAAAAGTGATACAAATCTTATTTGCTTTTTAAGCCCGCCAGCATTGACAGCCATATGAGCACATATGCATTTACACACACATATATATATATGCATGTATGGGCGCAGAAATATACACGCGGTGATACACTATGGAATTATTGCACGGTCTTGTCTACACTCTTTCAACAAACCATCACGTAAACAATTATGGCTATTTTTCTATAGCAATAACAATATTTGCTCGCGATCACACATAATACATTTGCACAATTCATTTAATTAATAATAATTTGAATGTAGTGTTCCACACTCACATAGATGGATGCTCACAATTGTTGCTCAACTCTTGTTTGTTTTTGTGATTTTGTTTAAATATTCTACAATTCCATATATATTTGTTATGGTGTTATATGGGTGTGCTTCAATGAAATTTTGAAAAACAACTACTATGACCACGACGGCGGCCAATTCCGACACTGCTGCCTGCAACTTATTAGCTTCTGATATTTATTTGCACTTGCAATCAAGGACGGTGACTTTTTGACACAAAGTACGCTACTAGACGTACACAAACAATAATGCAAGAGACTTTTCTCTTCACAAACTCAAGTTAATTATTGGAATTGAAATCTTCGGCTTCCCCGCATTAAAAATAAAACCACTTCACTCGTCCGTTGTAGATAAAATTATATTTGTCCTCTGATTTGGAAGGCGACAACTACTGCCTTTGAATGCGACAGCGAGTCCCTTGCGTCCTGTCAACACAATCGTCAAAGTAAAGCAATTTGACAGCAGACGAAAGCACTGTGTTGCCACATTTTGCGTTGCAATAAGTTGTACTAAAAATTGTGCGAGTTTTCTTGATTAATAAATTGACAGTTAATTTGAAATATTTAAATTTTGTGTTTTGTAAGTTAATTAGCAAATTTTAAATTAGTAAACGCTACGGTGTATTATGCGTAGCGACAGTTCAGGTGGACAATTATCATATACATATGTACAGCAATGTACTAAACTCCGGAAAAGCGGAATATTTTATATGACAGCACTGTATTTGCAATAGACAATAAGACTAGGTCTGTTCCTTACCTGGTAATTCGTTAAAATTATTTTAAAATTGTTAGAAAATAGTTTTCAAAATTATGAAAGAAAAAATTAATCCTATACTTCGTAATATTATGTGATTTAAAAATAATAAAAAAAAAAAACAGTAATAAATATTCAGTTCCTATTTACGAGTTGCACCGAACCATTTATTTTTTGTAATTTTACGTACTCCGATGTTTGTTTTTGACATTTACTTAAAATAAAAATATCTCCTTGAAGAAGTTTAAAGATTCCATAAGAGTACACATGAAAGTAATAACTTAAAATCGAGTATTTCTTTATAATTTTTGCTTTCTTTCTTATTTGTTCGTGTACACTTTCACAAGCTGGACCTCTTGAACGTACTTACATATATAATAATATCGAAATTAAGGGATTAGATAAGTTTCGTCCAGCAAAAAACGCTCTCTTTTCAATAATTTTTTTCATATAAAAATATAAAAAAAAAATATTTTATTCAAACTTTTCAAAGGAAAATATTCAAAACTCGGTCATTACGACGTAATTGCCGGCAGTCCCTCGGAAAAAAGGTGCTTCCGCATTGACAACAGAATTTCTGACAGGATCATCAAAAGCAACAAAAAAAAAAAAAAATACGTGTTTGAACCATTAGACCATTAACTAGGTATTGAGATGAGAAAAAAACAAATAAATGAAATTGTATTTTTGGCAGACGTTTTTACAAAAAAAAAAATGAAAATTTTGATGAAAATTTTTTGTTTTTTAAATAGTTGTAATTGCAAGAAGATAATTGAAATGGATATTAAGACTATGTAAATTATATCTCAAAGACATGTGTAAAATTTCATTAAGATCGGTTGAGTACAAGTAGTTCGTGAGCAATCTTAAAACCGACTTTGAAAACACAGTTTTGAGAAAAACGCGTTTTTAGTTACTTTAAAGCCTCGAGCGCGCAACTTTTCAAAAATGTAGCTCCAAACTGCTACTGCTATCAACTTGAGAATTCAGGACAATATTCTAGAGATGTTATAAAATTAAATAAGACAATAATAATTTTTTTTTGAAGCCGTGATACCCATGTAACCCATTGAAGTGCATTGTTGCATAATACTTAAAAATAAAACTTAAATCGAGTTAACTATTATTGCGAATACTAATTCTTTACTGCTTACATATATATATATATAATATATACACATATACATGCATATGTATATATGACGCCAGTGCACATAGAGCATATTTTGGTACAAACTAAGTTAAATCGAAGCTGGAAATTGATTAGTTTTCTTTCCCATGCAAACGCGAGAGGAGTGATTCAATGTCATCTATTTCCAGAATATCTGTAGGACCAGCAGAACTCGTTGTTGTTGCTTGTGCTGGTGGCGCCGACACAGTTGAACCACTCGCCACTTCCGTACCAGCGACAGCATTTCTTGTTATTCTGCTGTAAAGGTTATTAGATAGTTTGTACTTAAAAAAATATATATATATATTTTTCAACTCACGTCGTCCGCCTACGTGGGTCTTGTGTACTGCTCGTGGCTGGCGCAGATATGGGTGTGGACGTTGCCACTGGTTTCGCTTCATTCGAACTATTATCCTTTTGATTGCGCTCTTCACTGCTGCTAACAGTTGAGGTGGTTGCCTGCTGTGCTGTTGTTGTTGTTGTCGTGCTATGCACTACACCTACAGTGGTGATGTTATCATTATCAGTGTCGCATGTATTTATGCGCACTTTACGTTTCTTCGGAATGTTACGTATTTGTTGCGATGCGGGCGATGCATTGAACAATACCACTTCGTTGCTGATGCGCCATATGTGTTTCTCCTCCTCATCGAAGGCGACGACCATTTTAAAATTTGTAAAATCTCGTCTTGGCAAGGGATTTGCTGGCGCACCAACAGGTCCGTCATAGATAACTGATATAAAACGTACCGGATCCTCTTCCGTAACAGACGTTAATTCGCAATGCTCTAATGGATCTTCTTCGGAGGTTTCGGCAGTGTCAAGAGCTTCACTCTCCATATTTGTGGTTGATGTCGGCAAGATTTTGCTCTGGTGAACCGCTTGAGCTAACTCCTCCTTTGGCGCTATCTCCGCAGCTTCACTTTCTTTTGTCAAATTGTCCTTCGCAATTGCTTGATCTTTTATCTTTACATCGAGTTTGTCAACATTTGATTCTTGTCCTTCACCATTGGTATCTTTTTGTGTCTGTAATTCTTGAGTAGCTACTTGTGTTTTGGTATTTTTATTCGATATGCTCGCATCAATTATAATTTTGCTGCTGAATGTCGCTGCAGATTTTTGTTTCGTCATGTCTTCTTTATCATCTGCAGCAGCTGCTGTTTCTATTTTATCTTTGGGTTTTCTTTTCTGTGCCGTAGCAGTTGCATCTTTCGACGTTGGTTTCTCGGACGTCGTTTCAGCTGCCGAAGGCATAGCTGTTTGTTTAGTTTTTTCTACTTCTTTGTTCCTTTTAGTCGCTTCCGTGGGCGCTTTAGATGCTTTCGTCAGTTTACCCAACTGTTGTGACTCCTTTTCCTTTTTCTCAGTATCTTTTTTCTTTTCGGGTTTTGGATTTTCAGTTTTTTCGTTACTGTCAGACTTATCAGATTTCGCATGCTCAACCGGTAATATCTCCTGTCCTATAGGCTTTTGCAAATCGCTCTTCTCACTCGGTTGTTCGTCTCTAACCTTATCCTCGTCTTGCTTTTGCTCTTCCACTGTTAATTTGGCTTCTAATACTTCTGTCGGCGCTGTCTTTTTATTTTTCGTCATTCTAGTGCGTACTGGTGACTTTTTGAAAGCAGTCGCTAACAACCTTTTAGCCGTGGTTGCCGCCTTGGACTTGGACGCAGCTTTCAGTGGTTTTTTGTGTTTGGCGGTTTCTATGGTTTCCCCCGATGCATCGTCTTTGCCATCTTTTTTGTCGTACGCATTACCATCCTTCAATCTACTCTTTTTGTTGCCAAGCAAACGGGGCGAAACACGTAATGTACTCGGTCTGTCGGCAGTTAACCCCGTCGGTGTTTTTATTCTTATTCTTGGCACAGGACTAACAACAGCATCTTTTTCACCATTACCATCCTTCTCCGCCACGCTTTTTGTCGTTGCTTTATGCGGTGTTTTGACTTCCTCCAACTGGCCAGGCTCGAAAACAGTTTCGGGTGCATTAGTGCCCTTGAAGCCAAGCGGTTTGCGCACAATTTTCTTGCGTCCCACACTTGTTGTACATGTCCGTTTCAAAGATGGCAGCGCCTCAATTTTTACACACTGTCTTTGTTTGGCCTTCACTTTCGAAATGAGCGTCTTTAAGGGTAGGCGTTCGGTTTTCTCCGTCAACTCGTACGCAGCTGTAGTCGGCGCTTGTGTGAAGAGCGTAGTTGTTGCATTGTCGTCCAGCGAGGCCATTGGTGGCACCGCGGTCGGTTTGCGCACTGGCACTTTGCCAGCGTCAATATCCGTTTGCTGGTGAACTTGTTTCTTGGCGGAGAGCTGCAGTGCTGTCAATACTTCCATTGTACGTTTCTCCTGTACTTCCACCGCTATTTTGGTTTGACTTGCCTCTAAATTAGTTGGCAGCATTGTCGCTTTCGCCGGTAGAATCTTTGCTTTTTCCCTCATCGCCGTAAGCTTGCGGCTCGCAATGAGCGCTGCGCTCTTCTCAAATGCTTGTGCCGCTGTAGCTAACGGTTGTTTAACGCGTCGCTGTTTGGCATCTTGCTTCAGCTTCTCCATCATGCGTTCACGTTTTTGTTGTAGGTCATCCTCCAAACGATTCTTTTTCTCGGCTGATTTCACTGGTACAGTTAACTTAATCGTCGTCGCTGGCGCTTGCTCGTGTGTCTCGACGACTGCTTGCGAATCGACTTTACTCGGTGTCAGCCAACTACGTACCGGGTAACGTACTTCACCATCATTGCTTACCAACTGTGAGTTCTCTTCCTCTGTGACAGCCAACTTCTGCCATTCTTCATCCTCTGTGCTACTTATAGTAGAGAGATTATCTAGTGATAGGGACATGTCAGCAGTTTTTTTCGGTGTTTCTTTTTCATGCTTTGCTGCCTGCTCCTCGTCCGTTGTGGTACTGGAATTCGATGAAGAACTCGAGCTGCTTGTTGTACTGTTCGTTGATGATGAGGACGACGTAGAAATTGTGCTGGAGGAATCGGACGACTCTCCTTCGGCGCAAATTTCAGGCAATTCGGAAACGAGCGTATAGTGTGGATCGATGTTTGAGGTCGTTTCGGTATGCTCTGTGCCTTCGGCGCCAAATGATTTAACGCGTTTCAATACTATTGGTTCCACTCGCAATTTCTCAGCTGGTATTTCAACACATATTTCCTCTGCTACCGCTTTCGCTTGCTCTGTACCGTCAACCAGTGTTGGTCTTGGTTCCTCAAAGAGCGCACTTTTTACCTCCTCTGCATTTAAATGCTGTTCCAGCAGTTTTACTCTCTCCTCCTCTGCCTGCCGTTGCTTTTGTGCTGAGTCTTTTAAAATTTTCTCAAAATTGCGATCTAAATCTTCCGATTCATCAGGCTTATAGTACGAACCACCAGAGGAATAATCCGTTGGTGCTGTTGCACTGCGTGGTGTCACATCGCGACTGGAGCCGTATGGTGTAAAGCGCAAACCGGGCGTTATTGCACTCAGTTGTGGTGTATTTAATTCGCTTTTTGTCAGCGAACCAAAGAGATATGACGACGAAAGTTGCATATCATCATCAACAGAGCGTAGCTTGGCCGCAGGCGTGTCTAGGGAGTGCACCGGTTTACCCGGTGTTGGCGGGATTTCATCCATTAACGTTGGCGCTTTAAAAGGTGTATCTAGTAGGCAAGCAATATTTGCTGTACGACGATCGCGCTCCTGCTCTTTGTGCTCTTCCGACGCATGCACGGTTGCGTGGTCGGCAGTTTGCGCTGCAGGCTCTGCGTTTGCTGTACCATCGACTGTATCATCAGTTGCTGCAACTTTGTCGGCGCTAATGCTCTCTACGCAGTCGCCTTTCGTTTTTGTTAGCGATTCGCGTTTTTCCTTTTGTGGTGTTGGAATTTTTATATTGAATTCTTTGCTGTTGCGATCTTTATTTACGCGCCTGCTCTCGATTGCACACTTGCCGTGTTTAGTTTTTTCCACGATTCTTATATCGGGTTTCACAAATTCCTTAGGATCATCCTCAAGGATTGATGCGTCGGCTTCACGCTCAGCAAGCATTGCCTTTTTGTGGGCCTCCTGCCGCGCCTTTTTGCGCATGCGCTTAGAGATTATCGGTTTTTTTCGCCGTAAATTACGCCGTTTCAACGACGTATTTTTATCTCTGCGCACCGATTTCGGTAATATGGCGTGTTGTTCGGCATTTATCTGGCGCAAACGTGAGTCAAGATCACGATTGGAAACATTACGCAAGCGCAACCATTCCTCCATCATTTTGTCATCTTTTAAATTAGTTACACTCTGCTCCTCTGTAGGCTGTGATTCACTTGCAGGCGCACTTTTTTCCGATTCTTCATTTTGATCCGATTCGTTTGTAGGATCCGATTTGTTTTCAGAGTCATCTGAGGATTTCGAAAGTTGACGTTTGCATGCGCGTACCGCTGTTTTACGAACCTGTTTGCGTTTCGGTGTATCTACATGCAGGCCACTTGCAACTGATTTTATTTTATTTTGAATTTTGTCCGTTTTCTCTGCTACAGCGATCTCTCGTAGTGATAATTCGGTTTTAATGACAGTCTGATTGCTACTTTCCTCGGTGACGAATAAGGGCGGCACGCTACAACTATTGCTGCTTTCATTTGCGCTCGCTTCGATGGGTCCGCCTAAAGCTGGCAGAATTTCCACATTTTTAATGATGGGTCGCTCTGTTAAATCAACTGAATTGGCCAACTCAGCGCACTCCTCTGCGTTGGCATTAGGACGCAAGCTAGATTTCTGCTCTGCTGGACTACCAACCGTTATCTTCGGTGAGAATGATAATGTGCGCACATGCGAGGTGCGTTTGCGTGGTGTCGACAAGCTTTTAAAGGCTTTCATATTCACTATACCACTTCCACTGGGCGTCTCACTTTCTACAGTTGTACGTGATTGCAGCGAGCTGGGAATTGCACCGTCTTGTGGTTTTTTACATGCGGTGCACGGCTCTATTCTACCTTCGATTTGGGTTTCTTCGGTCGCATTTACTTTCTGTGCACTGGACACCATAACTGTGTTTTGTGGCTGTTGGCCTGCGGCAGCTAAAATAGATTTGGACAAAATTATTTCATTATGAGAACACTTTATATTACCAGTATTACCCGGTGGAATTTGTTGAATTATACCTTCACCGTTGAGAAGAAATGGAAAATTCGCCAATATACCCTCGTCGGCAAGAAGTAAAAATTGACCGGTATTGTTGTCGATGAAAACATGCTGAAATGTTGATAGAACAGTGAGATTTTTTTTGTTTAATATTTGGCTTTCGAAAATGCATACCTGCTCGTCCCCGGCCGCATCGCCGACATTAGATAAATGATTGATTAAATTGTCAGCAGTGACATTTCCAATGATTTGTTCACCAGCCGTTGCTTGCTTTTGTGCACTATCATTCGAATTTAATACGATCAACTTTGATAGCGAAAAGTTCGGATCGATCAAGGAACCGAACGAATTATTTGCTGTGAGCGTCGAAAGAATTTGCGCATCGCCAGCACCGCCATTCTGTGAAGTATTCGATGCCGATATAGCCGTACGTATTATTAGGGGTGTACGTGGAGCTGTACTCGAATCTGTTGGTTGTTGTGATATTGTCGATAATGTTGGTAGAGTTAATTGTTGTTGTTGATGTTGTTGCACAAATGCAAATTGTTGTTGTTGTTGCTGTTCTTGTTGCTCGTACACAGCCGGCACACTAATAAGTTGTTGTGGTGCTGCTGATGCCGCATCGATATTACATTGTACGCCTGCTGAGGCATTTGTCGGCTGTATGGATGCTATAAAAAAAATATATATATATATATTAATAGAATTCAGGAATTTATGAATTCGCTCCGCACATACCACCAACAACATTTTCGACAATTGCATCGAAAGTCGGGTCCTGCTCAGTAGCCTTCAAAATGTCTTTGACCATTTGATCCAACATTTCATTGGATGTGATAATTTGCTGCTCTTCCGAGAGATTATTGTCATTAGCTGATAACTTTGAAGTGGACGCCTTGACATTGCTTACTTCTGCTTGAGTTTCACTGCATTTCGAGTTATTAAGCGCTTGATTAATATTATCTACTAATTTCATTTGAAATTGCGGATTATCCAATATTGCTTGCGAAAGTTCCTGTAACAAAAGAAACAAAAAAAATGTGTGTAATACGTTTTATATCACGAGTAACAAAAATCATTTCATATTACTGGCACTGATGGTGTTGAAAATTTTCCATTAGCCGATTTGCTGCGCGGCGTTGATTCTTTGGTCGGCTTTTCCAGTAGTGACAAATCCGTTTCATTATCATGCGGCACATTTTCATCTTCATTTTCCGGCTCATTACTATCTTCATCAAGAGTGTCCTCTTCATTTTCATCATCTGTCTGCGTCTGGTCACCGCCTGTCGTAGGTGTTTCCACAGTTTTCCGTTGGCGTTGTAAATTTTGTTGTTTCGCACTTATGAAACAAAATGGTTCTAAAATGCGGCGCCGTTTTATATTTTTGCTGCTCAAGAATAAAGGACTTACGCGCTCATCAGAAGAGTACGCTACTGAATCACTGGAAAAGAATTTCAGAGTTTTAGTTGTAATTTGTATACTTTTAATATATACATAAATGTATGCATAAACATTTTAATATTCACCGTTTTCTTTTTTGTTTAGGATGCTTCTTAGTTGTATTCTCTTTATCTGAATTTATGCTGCTGCTAGCCGTAGAATTGCTTTTTGTATTATTTTTACTATGCGTGGAATTTTCGCCTTGCTGTGTTTTCAAATTTGTTGCCAATACACGCTCGAGCAATAACTTGACTTTTTCAGGCAGCTTGAGTTCGAAAAGTTCAAAACGTTGATTACTCGTCAATGAAGATACAAAGCGATCGACTGCAGATGATTATAGTTTCCAATAAGATATTTCATTAGATATGTTCATGTATTATCTGTTACTGTACTTACCAATGTGTTTGATATTTACATATTCGCATATTATATCCTCCAAATCCGGACAAAAACTGTGTGGCGTAAAACCGCTGCGATATACCGTAAATTCATGCTTAAGATGTGGTGAGGTTTTACAAAATAGCCGCGATGTACTTTCCAACTTTTGTCTTTTCAAATAGCCTAGCAAATAGCAGGGAAATTGTTATTTGTATTCGCAAAGCAGCACCAGCTGCAGAACACTTACCTAGCACAAGACGCGCAATGTCCGAATGCAACACAACAGCATCCATTTTCACGTTATTTTTCCTTTTCTCTACACTTTTACACACAGCACATTTTTATTGACTACAAACGCTAAGCTAAATACTATTAAAAAACACTTTATTTTGGCTTGTATACAAAATTTCTAAATGTTTTCACAATTCTGCAAAAAAATAAGCGAAATGCTTTTAGCGGCATAAAAGAACTTCGCTTACCTTCGCGTTGCCAGATGTGAATATAATATTTTATGGGGCATATTTAGGACTAGTGTAAACAGATTAGCAACTAACAGGTTATAGAAGCGTATAACAAGAGTAATTAATATGCTGGTTTTTTTTTTTGTATTATATTTAAATATTTGAATTAATTATATGCTTGCATTTACATTTTAATAAAGTTATTTTTTTTTTATAAAAAAATAGGGAGTAAATATTTTAATGTAAAATATTGATATTCCAGTTTTCACTGAAATACAATGAAGTGGAGAACTCTGTAGCAACCCTGTGCATTTGGAATTTGGTTATTTTTATTTGGAAGTGACTGTAAGATAGCTTCCTAGCAGACCTTGAAATAAGATTTCTCCAAATGATGAATACAGAACTCTGATTATTTTTTTGTACTACTTTAAGTGCTTTCTTCATTTTGTACCTACCTAACCAAATACCACCTACTACCTAACCAAATATCAATTTTTAGTTATTTTCCTCATCTAAATGAAATATTTATAGTGAAAAATGCCTTTCAGTTTAAAAAATAATATTTTCGGATTGTATAAAGATGTGAGGAACTAGTATCACGACAATGTTTTATTGCCATTTCTTTCAACATGCCATTCCATTATTGTTTACTTGTGAGTTAAAAGTCTGCACAAAAGAAAGGCAGATGATTTGTTAATTTTTCTCGATGATGATAAAATAACAAAAGTAAACAACACCAAAATTTTAGGTGTTACGTTTAATAGTCTGTACCCCTACACTCTACACACGAACGTTTAATTACCAAAGTATGAAGCAGCAAAAAGATCCTCAATCGATAGTCAGCTGGCCTTAACTACGCAGTCCCAATTTGGTCGCCTGGATGGAGCAGGACTCATCTGAGGAAGATACAGACATGTCAAAACATGGCACTGCGGACTAGTAACAGGATTGTTTGTGCAGAAATTATATTTAATTAGGAACATCAATTGAACGTCGAACAATATACCGATGCAATTTAGGACGTGACAAAATTCAGTAGTGTACTGAATGTCACTCACACTATTATGAACACTTTCATGAATGACGTCCTTGGAGTCGAAGCACTATCCATTACAGACCGTGAGCTCGAGTTGGCTCGTGAAACCAGAGTGACGCTTGAAAAACTACGTTTTTGATACTGTAGCAGGTTAAACTCCTACTTATCCAGAACATACTAAACATACATATGTATGTCCTGCATGCAAAGAGTCCCCGCATGACAGTTACTACCTCTTTGCATGCCCCGTCAAACCTACTCACTTACAACTTTTTTCCCTTTGGTCTGACACCGTTGAAACAGTGCTGGACCTACTGCTAATTTCGGTAAAAGTTGATATTCGACTTTCCCCCAAACAGGGCTTAAGCACTGGCCACAACAACTTTCGTTGTGGGTGCTCGGTATCCGCAAGATCTCATTAGGCAGAACAGTGTTGAACCTAAGGGCCATATAAGCAATTGCTGAAGCTAGTATCCTATTCAGCATACTTTTTATTGCAGCCAGAGGAAGAAATGGGACGATAAATGGACCCGACTGGATGTCATGTTGCCTAAACGACCCGCAGTTATCTTCGAAATGGATCAAGGAGAATATTAGCGAGTTTAGAGCAACAGGTAACAAGAGTCCATTAGCACAGGGATCAATAGGATTAGTATTACTTAAAGAACCGTTGAATTTAATAAGGAATGAAAGAAAACTTGTTTTTTTTTATAAAGAAAATATTCATTGTTTCAGTAGTACCCAACCGACAAAAGAAATTTAGAAAAAAAATTTAATAATGGTAAACAAATTTTTACGTGAACAATTTTGGCATAGATACAGGATATATTAACATATACTTGTTACACATACACATAAGCATATGCTTCGCGGATTAGTCGCAGTAAAAATCGGTTTTCGCAAACATGTCAAAGGATAAAGCAATAAAGACTTTATCGAGACTTTATCTAACTTAAGCTTTGACATGATCGCAAAAAATATCAATTATTTACTGTGATAACTGTACATGCGTGTGTGAAATCTGCCAAAATTTGCCCTACAATTTCATGGCAAAAATTGAGAATCATATACATATAAAAAACATACACACAGGTGCAACACCACAACGGAAAATGTTCAAAAATATATATGTATGTAGTTAAAACATAAAAAAAAATCGAAGAAAAAAAACTGCTGGAAGCAGCGGTGTTATATCTTGGTCTCGTTATCCAGAAAGTCCTGCACAAACTTCGAAACACCAATACTAAAATCTTCCTCGATTACGCCGATGATGTCGTTAGAGAGCTTGGAGGCAAGTCTATTTGTAGCAGCACAAAAAAAAATATATTTTGGTATCTAGATAGTTTTCGAAAAAATATAGAATATTTAGCTTACTTTGAAAACACTCGCCATGGCTGGTTGAAATTGGGATTTGCATAGAAACGATTTTTGCTACATAGTCGTAGAAATTGATTGCGTTCGGCAATTAGCTCTTCAATGTGTAGATCTTTCTTTCGTGGGATATCTTTGAAGTTACTGTTCCAGAGCGTACAGGGCGAAGTGGGTAGTTCTATGTTCTTACAACTCTTTACGTCTTCTTGCTGATTTGTATTTGGTAATTCATAATCGTTATCATCGGTGTTTATTTCATCTGAAGAGTTTTCCTGTTCCCAGTTCCCTTCCGTGTTCGCTTCTTTCTTCATTTCCTTTTGTGCTTGTTTGCGTTCGACACGTCTTTGCTCTTTTTGATATTCCTTCTTCAGACGCAGTTGCGCTTTTTTTAGCTTCAATTTCTCGTATGGCGACTCTCCGGTATAGAGGGTAATAGGGCTGAAAGTGTAGAGATAAATTGTGTACGGAAGAGATGATATATAAAAAATGAAATGGTATAGCAATTGTAATATACAAGATGTCTTAAAGAAGCGGTTGGAGTAATACATACTAAACTAAGTCTACTACCATCTGACTAGAAAACTGGCGACCACATTGCCATTGCGAGACCTAGATTAGGTTAAGGTGTAGGATATAGGTTGAATTTGTAGTAAGAGAGAAACTTTTAGGTGAACAAATTTCTGACAAAATCTCTTAAAAAGTATTTTTAAACATGTGTTTCGTGATTGCAAGGTTGTAGTGGGGAAAAAAGTTGTATTCACAAGTCAGGAATGGAACCCACTACGGTAAAACTTTCTGTAAGCTCACCGACCCCGCCAGATTCTCGGACTTGTTTACATGTGATACAACAAAGTTTTATAAAGTGTTTGTAAAAATATACAGAGATCGAAAATATGTAAGTGGAAAAGCTGGAGTTGTTAGCTGTGGCAAGGTCTACCGAAACCTTGACCAGAAATCGCCTCGATTTTCAGAAGCTAAAAAGATCGAAAAAGAGGGTCTGGTAACCAATTACTGAGTCATATTCAATTTATGAGGGAAATAACTCTTATGTCGAATATGATCGGATGATAGTATGTCTGTCGAGTAAAATGCAGGAGTTCTACTGAACTACTTCTTCTTACTGCACACTGGGCAATAGCCCTACATGCAGTAAGGCTAAAAACCTTGGCACTTTCTCCTCAAGAGAAGAGAAAGGAGCCCAAAAGAAAACAGGTATGCTTTTAACTCATACGGTCTCGAAAACACGCCTGGAAGGTTGTTGGTCTAGTGACAGGTTACAACTTACTGGCATCACATGCAAGCCAGATGGGTATTACTAATATGAGAGAGACGCTGGGACACTTCTTCTGCTTCTATCCGGCCTTACCTAGAGGGGCTATAATTAGATATATAGGGGCTTCGCAGTTCAGAAAATTAGATATCAAGTCTCTCTTAAGCAGGTCGAATTGAAAGGCCCTCTATCTGGCATTACAAAGGACAAGTAGGTCGATGTATGGCGTGGCAACCAACCAGTATAACCTAACCTAAACTTCTTCTGCATTGTCCAGATTTTGCACGACTGAGGTTGATTTATGAAGATATTAACGATCATTACTTAGGAGTATTAAGGTATTATAATGTACCGGTGTTCTTAGTTGTCCAAGTGGGATTAATATTGGACTTTGTCACAGCATCGACCTTTTACCCTAACCTAAATTATATCTGTCGATTGGAAGTCGACTAGACCCACTCCAACCGCTTCGACTCTAGTAGACTTTTCATAGACTTCATACATACTCAGTGATAATCTGACGTTACGACGTCACACAAAAAAATGTCAACCTATGCATGATATACTTATAAATTTCCTTCACTCACACATTTCACACTTTAACCACATTTATGGATTCTACAAAGACACTTAAATACCACGGTAGTTCATTATATAAATGTGACAATACAAGCAAGAGTTCGCGAAATACATATCAAGGTCGTAATGAAAATATTTCTATTTGTCCCCAAAAGCACGCACATGGTGCCCCAAATGGAAAGCTTGAAGTTTGTCTGCAGGCGGCGAGACCGAGCGACGGTGCATGCAACAAAAAACTTGCAACCATATTAAATGTTATAAATATTGATCAAACAGCAACTATTTTCGGCTGGAAATTTTCGCGAAAATAAAAATGTGTATCTATGTCAGGATGTACATATGTATTGTATATATGCAAAAACTTGTTTGTGCCACAATGTCGGCACTGACTGGATGCCACGTGTCTGCGCCTAAGTCAATATACCCATTAATCTTTCTATGCTTTATTGTTTGAATTTGATTTTCTTTTTATTATATGTACAATTTTTTAATTAACTGTCGGGTTTTTTTCGTACTATCTACTACGAAAATTGCAAAAAAAAATGGAATAAATGTTTGTGGTAAATTTTGTTAATATGTTTATAATTAACCGCATTAAACATTTAAATTGGTATGTAATAAGAAGATAGAGTTTATTTATATGAGGGCAACTAACCACAATTCAATTCGAGTGGATACGAATATATACTGTGGAACAACAGAAGGGAATACATTTTTGTTCGAACCATAGATGAAAAGGCGCTTACTTTCAATCCGTTTCAGTTTCTAGGAGAAAGAAGATTCAACTTTGTTGGTCGGCTAATTCGGCAGAAAAATTCCGTACTCAGTTGTGATCTCAAATATAGTTGACTACCAATTAGACCTGTATCTGTGAATTTTATAGTATTTGGAATATATAAACACTCTTGGTTCTCGTTTCTCTAAAAAAATGTGTACTTATAGGCTTAAAGAGAGAAAATCCAGTTTACTTATAACCAAGAAAAGGTGCTTTTTTCAATAGCCTTTTTTTGACAGATCACGCGTGAGTCGTGTCAAGCTGTCATGTTAATTTTGTTCAGTATCGTATATCATTTTATCATGGAAAGATTTACGCCTGAACAACCTTTACAAATGGTTCAACTTTATTACGAAAATTCACGTTCTGTAAAGAATGGTAACATCCATCACCCATCTTGAGAGCCAGCATTCATTATTAGATAATATTCGCTGAATAGATCACGTCGTAGCCGAGAGTGTACACGAAGACCGCGGAGAGTCGATTTGGCGTCATTCGCAGCAACTCGGACTGACGTATGGAACGACTTGGCACATTTTCCGTCGATATCTTAAATTGAAAGTGTACGAAATATAGCTTGTGCAAGAACTGAAGCCGCTCGGCCTTCTCCAGCGACATCGCTTCGCTTTATATAATCTTGAAAAGTTCCAAGAAGATCCGACGTTTTCGAGCCAAATTTTGTTCAGCGATGAGGCCCATTTCTTGCTCAACGGGTATGTAAACAAGCAAAATTGCCGCATTTGGGACAAAGAACAACCTGAAGTGATTCAAGAGCTCCCATTTTATACAGAAAAAGCAACGGTTTGGTGCGGTTTGTGAGCCAGTGGAATCATCGGTCCATATTTCTTCCAAAATGATGTCGCTGAGGACATAACCCTCAATGGTGACATTTGGTTTGAACAAGACGGCGCCACTTCCCACACATCGCTTTCGTTATTGATGTCGTCTTCAAAATAGTCGTCAGTCGAAATTATGCACTTACGCCAGCACTTTCTCCAATCTTAAAAACATTTCTCAAACTCGATTTTTGCGAAAGCCTTTAGCTCCTTCATGAATGCGCTTTTAATGTCATCAAAGCTTGCAAAACGGCCCTTGAAGTTCTGTTTATTTTTAGATATAGGAAAAAAGTCCCCATCCTTTTAACAAACGAAAATTGCCAAGCTCATAAAAACACGTCTAACCTTAGTGGCTGTAACAGACAAGAATACAGCTGAAAATTTTATTAATTAGACTCTACAAACCCGGGAAATTTTATTTTTAAAATTACTTTTATTTATTTAACACAGCTCGTATGGCTTGGCCAATCAATGACATCTATTAAGGCGCAAAATATATGGGAGTAAAAGATCGGTGAAGGGTGTAGGAGATATGTTAGATGTTTTCCGAAAGGTGAGGTTTTTCAAGATGAGCGCTTCAATGGAGAATTACGCAAGTTTCAGGAACAGGCCCTTTCAAAGGGAAATTGATTCAGTGATTACTAGCCCCGCTAGGAAAATTATTTTAAAACATGGATTGGGCTTTCATATTGTTCATACTTCGAAAGACAATATCAAAACACAAAATGTTTTTATGACAATTTATTCTGGATAAGCTGAAAACAGCGTTTGGTTGGATTGTTATTTTCCAAGCATTTAGTCAAACAGATTGATCGGCGATTAAACCTTTTCTTCCTTCTGTTAAGGGTCTTAATGTTAACTGACAAGTATAAGAGCCTACAAGATTTGAATTTCATGAGAATCTGTTTTGTATTAGAAGTACGGAGGCATTATATTATATGACGAGGTATAATTTATTAATTAATTTTTTCCTTGAATTCGAATTCACAAACCTGCGATGAATGGTTTAATCAAAAGTATACGAGTGTTTCTATTTTAAGGTGTTATAGCCACATATAAATTCCAAAAAATTTAACTTTTTGTACTTTTTCAAGTTAATCTGAGAACTAGTTTTGGAGATATGAGCGTATTTATAAGCATTTTTTAACTCAATGCTTCCAAAACTCTCAACACGTTATTCTTGAAATGCTGTTTTTAGAGTCGGTGAGGAAAACTTCTTCGAAACGGCTGAACCGATCGGCTTTAAATTTTCACCCGAGCGAAGCCACTTGAAGTGTAAATTTGAAAAAATACGTTTTTTTTGGAAGCTGCCATTTCGTCCAAATTCAAAATTTCTCTCTGATTTAAAATTTTCTTGCCTTATATCACCCTTGTAGAGCCATCAAACTTATCGTTTAGCTACTGATTTATTAACAAAATCCAGTTAAAATTTCGAGGTTGAGAGGTTTTAGAGTACCAAAATAGAATTCGTTATATAATGGTGCACCGCTTTGACCTCCATTCTTCGAACCCTTTTAGCTACCCTTGTAGGTGCTACGTCATAGATTTCGCGATGTAAAAAATATATATTGTTATACATATAAACACCCAGCTCTCAGAGATCTCAGTTTCTCATATTCGCCACAAAATAAGAAATGATTTTGCCTCCGCTAATTTCTAATTTAACTTCGGTGACCTTTACGAAAATTTTTCAGTTAAATTATTCTGCCCCAATCGCACCTTATGTCATCGTAGAACTTGAACCATAAATCAACATTCTAATAGGAAAGCTCTGTAGGTATACGGGTTTGTATTAACAGAGAAAACACACACACATACATACATACTATGTATATAAGAGTTTGTAGAATATATAAATCCGAATATGTATATCCAATTATGCAGCCCTACTTGAGGATCAGCTGAATCATACAACTTACGAAAGGTGGGTAGATAAGCTTAAACGTGCACACATACATACATACATACATATATACAAGAATACATATAAGTACAAACAAGCGTGAGTGAGTAAGTAAGTAAGAACGCAGCTTGAAATTTCGGTGATAGATGCTCTCAGCACAGCAGTCACCACTATCGCTTATACCCAACAAATGTATGTAGTTATGTATCTCATCAGCATACGCACCGGCACCGACAACCGCACTCACCGGGTGTAGTCCATCAGTCGTTGGCGCAGCGGGGCCGGACGCACGCCTGTCCAAACACTGGACCGCGCTAAACACGAACTGCTTTGACTGACAGCCATCAACAATAGCTATTGAAAAGCTTCAGCGCAGGCGATAAGCGACCGGTAGCAGAGCTGCGATATTCTCTGCTGACTTGATGACATCATTTTCGGGTGAGTGGTGGATAGTTGGGAACTTGTCGTGTGTGGTGGGGGGTATTTGTGCATGTATTACTATAAGTAAGTAAGGTTACTGCGCACTCGGCTCACTTCACTTTTGCTCTCTTTACGGAAGAGTTGTTGTTGCTGCTATTTGATGTCATCTTGTATTTTGTTTTGTATGTTCTTTATGCATGGAGCTTGTGTTTTCCTTGCATAAATTTGTATTTATGTTTGTATGTATGTAAATAAGTATTTATTTGTAACAAATTATTTACACAGCCGAGGCGGCAAGTTGAAAATCATTTGCGGGAAAATTAGTATGAGTGATTTTTGAGACCAGAATGGTACTGTTACTTGCATGATTGCACTTATGGAACATATGTACATAAATACGTGTTTGAGATTTTTTTTATATGTAACAAAAGATATTATTCAAAAAATATTTGTTAGTTAATTTTACTTTTATAGGTTTTTGAATTAATTAGAAATTTTAATTTAATTATTTTATAGATATTCGGATTTTTTTGAGCTCAATATTTATTGAGTATCGATATATTAATGAATAATAATAAATCAATATCAAATCTTGAATTAAATAGTCTGTAAAAATATAAATTACAATAAAAAATTTTTATGTTTATTTATTTTTTCAAAAATTAATTAGAAATTTTAATGTAATCAAGATTTTATTGTATAAATATTCGGACTTTTTTGAGTTTAACATTTTTTGAGTAACGAAATATTAATAGATTTTATATCAAATCTTGATTTAAATTGTTTGTAAAAAACCAAAACTAAAATTTTTTATGTTTATTTATATTTTTCAAAAATAAAATTTTTTTTCAAAAACGTTTAAATTTGTTTTAGTGATATTTATGGTTTTTTCAAATATTACATTTTTTTGTTTTCTTTAACATTTTTTGAACGAAATATCTAAAGTTCACGTTTTTTATGCAACTATTTTAATTAGAATTGAAATTTTTTAATTTTATATAAAAATCTAAAAAAAAAATTATGCAATTTAGTTTTTAATATTTTGTGCAAAAATGTATTTATTTTATGAAAATCTTTAAGAATTCTTCCATTTTGTTAATTTTAGAATTTTATATAAAGTATTGAATAGTAAATACAAAATATAATATTATAAAAAAACTTTATTATTTTAAAAACTTAGAAATATATCTTTAAAATTTTTTTTTTTGCTTTTAATAAAAAAAAACAGATTTGCTTCGAATAATTTCATAAACGTTTTATATGTTCAAATCGCTGTTTGTTTGTAATACTTATGTACATACATACACACACACACACACTCTATATACATATCATATATAAGTTAGTCAACTCTGTGGAAGTAATTAGCTTTCGCTTCAAAGGTAACAAAGGGCAGATGCAACTCTACATATGTACATTTATGTAGATGCTTTACGGTTGTTAGCAATAAATGAGTCAGAAAATGAAGCAACAATCTCCAATTGTAGAGATATATGAGTATTTGAGTTTTAGAAGTCATATGTAAGTATGTGAAATCACGTAGAAACTCATCAATATATAAAAATATAATATATACCTATAAATATATATATATATGATTGTCGATATAAAAAAAAATATTTTAATTCTGAGAAAGTTTCTTTTCAGTTTTTTTAGCTTTTCATAGATTTATCGAGGTCCCTACGCCATTTCATTAGAGCGAAATCTCTTTAGTTGGGTTCAGTTAAGTTTTTGTTTAAAGCATAAGTTTTGTTTAAAAAAGATCGGAATTGGTTCAATTTACGGTTTGATCGAAAATAAGTCTCAACGTGATTATGTTGGTTCACGAAACCTTCTTTATAAAGCATTTTATATTCCGATAATGCTAAGTTTGACGGGAACAAATGTGATGCAGATAAAAAAGCATCAAACCCTACAGAACGATGAGCAATGTGCACTGGGAAACCGACTCATTCCGAGGTCCTTACCAAAAAAACAAATAGCGATAGATATTTAAGTATTTTGAAGCTATTCGACCACATACTCAACACGTCTTTAGCTCGATGATTTATGAGATGAATAGACACTTGAAACTTTTCACTGAAATTGCTAAAATATATCTTTTATCTTTCTTCTATAGAAACCGAAGTACTACCACCAAGGGAAGAAAGGAAGAGTGAGTTTAATCGCAAGAAAAGTAACTGCCTGTGTGGTAAAGTACATAAATGAAGAAATGATTGTTCACTATAAGAGTAAAAACTTCTAGGATTTCTCGAAGTGAATATAAAATTTGTTAAAGAACAAAGTTATATTATCCCGCTAAGTATCTGTATATACAATATACATACATATTATTATAATCGGCTCGTAAATATGGCGTTTTGATTTCAAAAGACCCCAGCGACACCTAGCACACTCCATTTTATTCTAAATATTATTGTTTGGGAGCCACGACGGTCGGTCATCGGAGTTGATAATAAATTTAAAATATTTGAGTGCGAATTCAGCACCATAATATGGTAATATCAAAATGTTTTAGAAATTAATTTTCACTTACCATACAGGATTAAGGTTTCTCGATTCCTTTCCAGCTGCTTTGGGTGTGGCGCCTCCTGGGCTGTCTGTATTTTTGCCATTATCTTTCATTGCTTCGTTGTACTTGAAAAGACAATTGGTAAGCGCCTCAATTAGGTCGTGATTAGCCAAATTTTCTGCCTGATTCGATTGCGCCTTATCGCTACATTGGTCTGAACGAGGTTCCGGCGCTTTCGCTGATGTAATCTTGGTGGCGTTGCCAACGCCATTGCTTGCAAACGGTATCATCATATCGACGAACTCAGACTTTAACATCGAGCACATTTGCAACATTTGCGATTGTGTCTGTAAGGGTTTCGCACCTGTCGCGTGCGTGTCACCACCAGCGCCGACGTCGTCAGCCTCGTAGAAAGCCATATTCGGGGTGGTGTGTGAAGGTCTAAGCGCTTGCTGCGCTGGTGGACGCACTTTCGTGGTATTACAGCCAGCACCGGCTGAGCTTACGGCGCTAACACGTGCGTTGCGCGGTGTGCGTGCCGAATTGGTAGGCGTGGCTGAGGGAGCTGGCGGGGGAGAGTTCAATGGATTGCGGCGTTTCTTTAGCAATTTGGACTTCTCAGCGTGCATGTCGTTGCGGCAGCTGGAGAGACTTTTAGCGCGCGTGGATAGAAGGCCACGGCTTGTGGTGCGCAGCGGTGAGACGCGTGAAGATGGCAGTCTCGAGGTGCTGGCGCGTGAGGTGTGACGCGAAGGAACTGTGCTGCGCGTTTGATGTTGTGCTTGCGCTTGCAAATGCTTGCGCGTCAGCGGCTTTGGTGGCGGTAAACTCTGTTGTTGTTGTTGCTGTTGATTTGGTTTTTCCTGCAGCTTCAGTTCGTTCTTGCGTTCGAACATTTTCTGTTGCTGCAATTGTTGTTGATGCAAATGTTGTTGTTGTTGTTGCTCGATAATGCAGCGCTGATGCTCCTCCAGCTGTTGTTTGAGTTGTTTTTGTAAATTGTTGGATTGTTTGAAAATTTGCTCGGCTGAAACTTTGTTGTTGAGCGTCTTCGGCGCGCAGCGTCTCTCATCGCGCTTGGCAAGTTGTTGGCTATGCAGCTTTTGCTCTTCGTATACTTGCTGTAGCAACAGTTGTTGTTGCTGTTGTATGTGTGTATCGTAGTTTTCGGTGCGTTCACGCAGAGCTTTCTGTTGCTGGCGCTCAGTTGACTGCTGCTTCATTTGTAGTTGTTGCAAATGCTTTTGTTGTTGCTGTTTGCTTAACTTCAGCGGTTTGTAATGCATTTGTTGCTGTTGTTCATGTTTTTCCAACTGCTGCTGCTCGGTCTTGTGTTGTTGCTGCTCTTTCTGGCTATGCTGCTGTTGCAATTGTTGCTGTTGTTGCTGCAACTGTTGCTGCTCGTTTACTTTATTCTTATCCGGCTTCATGGCAATAACGACATCAAAACTACTCGAATTGCCCTCAAAACTCGCGAAATCCGAACCACTCTCACTGGCAACATCATCACGGTCTCTAGCTCTGTCACCATTTGCGTCGGTGTAGCCGTCACCAGCACTTTCGCCATCGCCGCTCTCGTCCAACTTGAAGTTATCGAACACCACAATTTTGCTGCCATTCATTTTAATGTTGTTACCGTTATTGTTGTTGTTGTTGTTGTTATTATTATTTCTGTTGCTGTTCTTATTCTTCTGCTTGCCGGCATAGCCATCGCGGAAGTAGCGCACCGAGTCGCTGGCCTCATTGGGCTCGCTACGTTCGGTTGCCTCGCTGTGGTCAGTCATTTCGGTGGGCTCGGTCGGCGCGTCTCTGGGTTGGTCATCATCAACATCGCCGTCACCATCGTCCACATCATCACCATCATCGTCATCTTCATCGATATCGTTGCCATTGGCGTCGTCATTCTCAAACCCATCATCATCATAATAATTATCATCGTCATTATCGTCGGCGCTAAGCTCACCGATTGCCGTCTCGAAGACATTCGCTGTGTCTGTGCCGCCGAAGAATGCGGCAGCTTCGTTGCGTTTGGTCGATTCATAGTTCGACTGGTGATGCCGGTTACGCTGCCGTTCAGTTTGCTTGGACGCTTTCAACTCTACGGTCGTACGTTCGTGGTATTCGCAAGCGAGTTCGCGTTTCCAATTATCGTTACGAGCGACAATTCATCGAGCGGGTTTTGTGTTTTCATATGTGTACGTATGTAGATATGTAAAGCGTAGAGAATATAACAATTGCATATTAGTTAATGGAAATACAAAAGCAAAAACAAAAATAGAAAAATTATAGTCATACAAAATAATAATTAAAATAGTGAAAAGTGCGTGTTGTCACAAAGTAATTATTTTCTAACAATTAGCGACTTACAGCGAAGTACATATGCATATGTTATATACACATATATATTTAATTGATGTACTTGTGTAAATGTATGTGTATGCAAATTGGAGATTGAATATATATTGACGCAAATCGATCAGCTGGCATTGTGTACAAATATATTTCATTAATTTAAAAATGTTGTGCTTTTCTGTTTAATTGCTTTAAATTGTGTTTTGGTAGCGCGTTCAAAAGACGCTCAACGAATAATATGGAAAGCGTTATTTTTTCATGAAAGCAAATTTAGACAAATTTAAAAGTGTGACATTTAAGTCAATATTGCGATTAGAGTGTTGTTCATACAAAGCGCTAAACAATTACATAACTGTGATATACAAATATAAAAATAAAAAATATTAATAAAAAGTTTCAACTATAAACTATGCGCAAAATAATATATACCCATATAATATTTTTAAAACTTTGGTTTTGTTCTTGGGCAGCAAGCTTAATTATAAAACTGGCTTTTTTTATTCTGATCAAATTTGACCCGGACAGTCAATAACACAAATTTTTTACATATTTTAATGCAAATACCAGCAAGCCAATGATTAATCCAATTTTTTATATACTTTTTATAAGCCTCGGCTGGTAAGGCTTTCAGTGCGTTCAGCGAATTTTGGTTTAATTAGGGTTTGACTCATGTTTGGAGTGCTATTCGCTAGATGGGTTGAACAGTTTTGCCGTCACATTCATAAACCCACGTCTCGTCACCAGTAATGATGCGTTTGATGAATGTGCCCTCTACTCGACGTCGTTTTTGGCAAAAAAATTAAGATCTTTTGGTACAAGATACGCTTTATGTCCAAAATACTAACCAAATGGTGTCAAGTCGATCCATACGAGATGTTGAGATTCTCTGCTATCTTTCTAATGCCAACATGACGATTTTCAATTACTATTTCTTTAACTTTTTCGATAATATTAACAGAGTGGGACGAATCTCATGAGGAAAGTTTTCGGTGACTTTACGACCTGAGTTGAATACTTTTTGCCACCTAAATACTGTAGTACTGCATGATAAAGTAGACTACCCAAAACATTTCTTTAACATTTTTAACGTTTCGGTAGTCATAATTCCATTGGAAACACAAAATTTCAAAGAAACTCGTTGTTAATTTTTTTTACATGATAAAAATCGGCATACAAATTGTTATCGATTTGGTTTGCGTAAAGCGTGTATATGGGCTACTCCGGGTCAATTTTGCTCAGATGATATATTGAAGTTAAATTGCATTACGTTAACTTGATACTAATTTGAATTTTAATATAATATATACTAAAATTCAAGTTTGTTGTATGATATTTAGAGGGCTTGTTTCTAAAACCTTTACCTATCTTATTTTCTTTATACTCTATATATTCTCTCTTATAATTGTAGTACCCGGCGTCACCTGGTGGTTAATTTTTGAAAAATATGCGGCGGGATGGATCTTAATTATATATTTTATTAATAATTTAACAATAGCGACATCTAGAGGGTAAATGTATATCGATTTTTTGATTCTAACGAATTTAAATTTTCAATCACAGCACCATCTGTTGAATGCATTTAAAATTCACACTATTGCGGGAACAAACACCAATTAGAAACTCAAATTAACTCTGACATTAAGGAGGGTGGTTTCAGATAATCGACAATTTAAAAAAGGTTTTATTGAAAAACAACAAAAAAATAATTTATTTACTAACACAAATGATTTGCTATATGCTTTGGGTTTTGGCCGCCTCTAACTTAAAACATTAAAAGAAAGGGATTAAGGTATAAAAACAATTGGTCAGAAAATCTATATTCATTTTTAAATAAATTTAACTGATTCATAGGGTAGACTTTGGGTAAGGATAACTACATACTTAATGCCCTTAAGGCAGCTCACTTTTCATTTGAGATATCTGATAGCAGCGCTAGGGGATGGATATTTTTGAATGGGTGCTGGGAGTTTTATAAACTGAATTTATATCTTTCTTAAAGAAAGTTTCAACGTATTAGGGCACTATATACACAAAAGTCATCTTCGGTGTTTTTATTGTTGCTTTAACAATTATAAGAGTTGTGCAGACAAAGGGAGTGATGGGACACAAGTGGGGTTATATGAGTAATTGGTGTATTTTGATTATTACCTTTTTCAAGTTACTCTAAGAGTCTGATCGAGGATTGTTAGCTATCAATCAAATTCAGGCATAGGCAGGCAGACTTCGTAAAATCAAATAGCTGCGTACGTGAAGAAAATCAAAATGCTAGTTCACTTTATGTTTTATGTAGAAAAACTTATGATAACATTGGGGTCAACATGCCACTGGGGCATGTTCTTTTCGAGTTAATATGGAAGAGCTCTGCACTACTAATCTCTATTTGAGTTTAAATTGCATTTAGACTACACTAAAGTGCAGCTGTGGTCGTATGGCTATATACTTGTATAGAGAACGTTTGAGTTTAACCACTTTCAGTGTAATCAGTATTCAGTATAATTTCTAAGGCCTAAAACATACGAAGAAATATATCTAAGTCTATATATAGTTGCCTAATAATAAAATAATTAAGAAGTCTAGACTTGCCCGCAAATTGACACAAGAAAGTGCAAAATATTATATTATAAAAATACATCATATACAAATTAACAACTTTTGCTCTTTACGGTTTTTCGCTACTACTTTTTAAAGCATTTGTTTCTACAAGTATATATGTATATGTATTTATATAAACATTTGTATGGAATAACGCATGCGATGCGATCTCTGTGGGTGGCTTTTGTGGTTTTGGTGACATTGAATAGTTTTCTAATATTACCGACTCATTTTCCCGACTGCATATTCAAGTGCTTTGAAACGCAATTTGCGCTACACGAAGGGGGGCACTAAATGGGGTTGCAGTGATATATGGATGTATATTAATATTTAAATCTACATATATGTAATTTTTTGCTTGTCTTTGTTATTTGTATTATATAGCGCATTTTTAAACATCCCTTAAGAAAGTGAACTAGCTACACAACATTAGGGGTGTGCGAGTTAAATAAAAATAAAAGACATTGTATGAAATACTAGCTAAAATAGCGGTTAGCTGATTTGGCAGTGGGTTCAGGCTGAAAATTTGTAATAAATTTATTTGTAATGATTATAGTTTTAGAAGTGGAGATAGTAGAATTTCGGGATTCCGATACATGCGATTTAACTTTTGGTTTTTGACTACAAAAATTTCGGCGAGATCAAAATTTTTAAAAACTGTTAAACTATATTCGTTCTATAGAGGTTTTGGGCAGATGTGCATTGATTTTCGTAATTTTTTGCCACGCAAAGCTTTTCATTACCTTTCCGTTCTCACACAAAATATTTTTTTTCTTTCTTTTTTATTTTAAAAAATTCCATTGCAACTCGCACCAATGTATATTTCATTTCTTAAATTTCACTTACTTTCGCGCCGTAAATTCTTCGCCAGCAAAAACTTTATAATTTTTTGTAGTTTTCGCAATTTAATTCAATACATCCCTTGATAACGGCAACCCCATAAGCATAAAGCGCACAACTCAGCTGGACTTCGTCGCCCCAATAGCAATTATTTTTGCTTTCAGACGATATCAATAGTACAATGGAGGGATATTAAGGCAGTAATGTGGATATACATATATTAATTTATATATGTATATATGTATTTTTATATGTAAGAGTAGCTGCGTGAATATACATACGTATGTATATTTTTCATGTGTGTTTGCTTCTTAGTCCACTATGAGGCGTTACATAGTACCGGTAGTGAAATGATCGATAAAGGTTATAATTTCTATTACATATAATACCGTTATTTCTATTTGTGTACGCAACCATACAGGCACATACATTTACACATTTCGCTTTTTGTAACCATTTTCCATTGTTTTTCTTTTTCATTCAAATACATTTGTACTCACCTTCGGCGCCAGCACGCACTTTGTCGCCATTGCCACTGTATTTTTCCGGATTTACTCTCTTCGTATTCTCACCTTCTGCCAGTGAAATTAAATTACTGCTGAAAGCATTGAGTAGTTCTTCAATTGTTTTAGAAGCATTCTATGAAAAAATCAACAAAAAAATATTTCGTACTTCACTACAACGAAAAAATCAAACTTAGAAATCTTAAATCTATATTTTTCAATCAACTAAAAATTCTTTTTTACACAAAGAGCGTAAAAATATACAAATTTTCCAATAGGAAACGCGCAACGCCGAAACCAAAATCGTCTGCAGTTAATTGCCAGTGAAATAAAAATAGAAAAAAATACAAAAAAAAAACATTACTCTGGTAATAACGAAAGTGTAACCAACACCAGCAACAACAAAAACAACAGTAATCAGCATAAAGCAACAACACCAGCAAAAACTGGCGAAGCGCTCAACAAGTGATTGCTTGGCTTTAGTAATTCGCTTTTGGCATTTTATTACGAAGCAAAACTTCGCTGTTTAAGGAAATTTTGCGAGTTGAAAGGAAAAAGGCGTATACCGTGCTAGACGTGCATAGACCAGCGACAAGCTTGGTAAAAGTTCATTTAATTTTAAAGGGAGCATAAGTCAGCGGACAAAATGGTGAGTAACAAAATTAATGGTGGCAAATAAAGTGGTGGAATTTGTGCAATTTACAGTTATTTGTAGCACAGTGCTGTTAAGGCATATTTATTGACAAATTTTTTCAAAGTCATACAATTTTGTAGAAAAAAATGTAAATAATTTGATTTTCAAAGCAAACGCAAGCAATTTGTTGGCATGTTTGTTTGGAAATTTTTCACAGTGCTTATTTGGAAACAAGTTCATTGGAAGCATGTTTTTTTTATATATTTTATTTATTTTATACAGTCTACTGTTTTTGTGTTAATGATAAGCAGTTATTGTTTTTATTGTGATCTTATGGACCTTGCGAATTTGCATGTGAATAGCAGCGTTGATTATGTGTCGAAATTAGCGAATGAATTGATTTTATTTTTATTTTTATTTTAAGTTATGATAAAAATTAAATATACATATAAATTTAGGGTAAAACAAAAAAAGATAAAATAATAGATATATGGAATTTGATGCGTTTAATATGTTTAGTTTTCACAACTTTTACCCTCTAAACTTTTTTGTTCAAAACAAACATAAAATAAAATGTTGTTGAAATTTGATTAGGAAATTCTATTATTTTAAAATTAGAGTTTGGTGCAAATTGTTTTTTTTTTGTTGCTGAAACTGGTTTTTAAAATTTTTCATTTATCGTAACACTTTTATTCACGCAAAAATAGTCGTTTTTAAGCTTAATAATTAATTTTTACATTTTTAAGTATTTTTAGAAAATAATGTGCCAAATCATTAACACAAAATATATTAAACTAATTTTTTACATTTTCAAATTACTTGTATTATTTAATTTTGTAAAAGTATTAGAAAGTAAATTATTTAAGCTTTTAAAAATAATATTTTTAATTTAAAGAGAGTCAAAGACCTGCTGTAAAAAAGCTAGTTTTATCTGAAATCCAGAAGATAAAATGTTTTAAAAGTTGTTTTGAAAGTCATTTTCAAATAAAACCGTTATATATTTCTATAAAAATTTACTGCTTTAGTTAAAAAACTAGTTAAAATATTTGTATATTTTTAATTATTGAATAATAGTCTTTCTATTTTTTGGTTTGTTATACTTTATTTCTAACCTTAAATTTTGTATAGAAAATATGTTGTATATGCAAGCAAAAAAAATTTTTAATTTCAATATACATATGTATGTATTTCTGCTGCCAACAACAGTAATGTTATAAAGTCCTTAAATTATAACTATTAAATAGCGGTCAGGGCGTATGAGTGACATATGTGAAGATCGATGAGCGATTACATTAGTTACTCATACGCCAAGACGCCCATCGAAAAGTGATATTTAAAATATGTGATTGTAGGTTTGGGTATAGTAAGAAGTATAGTATTGAAAGAAAAGGTTACTAAGATATTGAATAAAGTATGATATGTGACGAAGTAGGTAAAATATTAAAGTATAATTGCGAAAGCCTCTGCATTAAGATTTTCGTTCAATATATGTATGTTTAAAATTCTGAATGGCTCTCATGAGTTCCTTCATTTTAATGGTCAACGATTGTTAATTAAAAATATAGAAGCAAAACTGTATTTGGTATAAGAAATACATGTGCACTCCTCGATTTTATTACAATTATTAAATTTTTTTCAAATTCACTATGTCTTCAGCTTTGTAAGCTAATGATATAGTTGAATAACATAGCGTGATCCTATGGTGCGGAGTAGCTCAAAATTAGCCCTTTTTCAAAAATCGTTATTTCTGGGGGGTTTAAATCTCTATGGGGTTTAAATCCATTTTTAATTTATAATTATTATTAGATAATGTAAAACTTCATTGAATACACAACACGCTGAAATTACACTATAGTTTAAAAATTATTGGAAACCCATTTTAAAGATGAATTTCAGATAATAAATTCACAAACATCGATACCCAAACACAATTGTTGTATTGAGTTCTCCTTTTGAAACCGTTTCGAGTATAAATTTTTTTTCCAATCCAATCTAATCCAACTCTACTTCAATTTCAATTGAGATTCTAGCTTCTTTTGTACTATTATACTATTTCACTTGAACTGTCAACTACATGGCAAGAGAATGCAAAAGCGTCATGTCATAACAACGGTTGATTGTTGACACAAAGCGTTAACTAAATTAACACTCCACTGTCAATGGGCGAACAAAGGAAGCAAAAGAAATTAAACACGAAACCAAATAAAAAAAATAAAATCTAGCAAATAAAAAAGTATAAAAAACAGAAAATAAAATAAATGAAAAATCTTGAAAACATTTCAAGTTTGGTGGAATTTCTAACATCGTTAAGTATTTGCGAAAAAAAAATGGCGCAGTTTAGTCCCAAAAATGACCTAAAAGAAAAGTATGTATGGTAATCGTGCTAAATTATTTTTGTTTAAACTTTACTACCTTATTTATTTTGTTAAATTGACAAATAACCGAATAGTTTTGCAATGCTTCAAGCTCCAAAATATTTACTCAACCAAAGCAAGCTTTTTATATTTACAAGTAAAGCACAAAAATATTTACTTATGTATATGAATTATATATTTGTAATTTCTATGGAAATGGCATTATTGATTCAAATATAAATCAATGCCAAGTTTCGTGAAGATATTTCGTCACATGAAAGAGTTTCCCATACAAGCACTTGCACCCGATTTTTCAGTTTGTATGGCAGCTATATGCTATAAGAGAAAAGAACAGGGCAAAATTTCATAAATAAAAACACTATTTTACAAACATTTCCGCCAATAAAAATGTGTTTTTTGAGTAAAGACTAAACACGATGATATTGTTAAAGTCGCAAAATTCTCAAAATGTAAACAAGAATAACAAGAAAAACATAAAAAATTTTATTTGGAAATATTAATTTTAAAATATTTTCGTAAGAAGAACACACGCTTGCTGATCAAATATGGAACCGATTCAAATATATGGCCGTGAAGGCATCGAAAATTTGTCTCCTGCAATTTGTCTCTCCACCTCTGTTAATGACGATAACATCGTAAAATTTAAAGAAACAGCGCTTAAAATTGTCGTGTTGGCAACAGAGAGATGGATTTGGTTAATCTTTCGGGTGTGAAGGGTATCATTGCTAAAGTTGTACCAAATTACCTGAATCTTTTGAAAGAGACCAAATTTGATCAGATGATATAATTGAATCATGAACACCGATCTATTCTCCATAGGTGTGATCAAATTCAGATCAAACGAAATCGATTTGATTTGCTATTTATTTGAGGGAGATTTAAAAGCATTTTAATAAGAAATATTTTTGATAAAGTTTGTGACATGTTTATAGATTTTTATTCTATAAAAATTGTTAAATAAGCGATACACTAGAATATCAGCAACCAATTGACGGAAATTAAAAATTACCCTTAAAAATATTTATGCTTAAATTTGGAAATTTTTTACGGAGATATTTTTGGGAAGGGTTGCAAACTTTTATAGTATATATGTATTTCAAAAAAAAAAAGTTAAATAAATTAAATATTATTATATTGATTGAATGTTATTTGATCAACTGTTTATTGAAGATATTTTATTTCCAATACATCATATTAGTGCCATAAAAATAACTCAGATAAGCCCTAATACTTGTCTTTCTTGCATTCATTATTTACGAAACCCAGGCGATAGTTTTTCCATTACCGAGCGTAGACTTATGCTATTTTCGTCTTTGCTTTCAGATTCTATAGAAATTCTTTCTCTTTAAAATAGTAAATAACCTCAAATATACAAGATTTTTAACAAAAGTTAGAAAGAATAGGTTTGGAAATAAGTTAAATATTTCGAACTTTTCATAAAAAATTTGCCGATAAAATACTTGTTCAGTTTTAAATATTTAGTTAAGGCATGAGTTCTTAAGATTTGCTCTGGACCAATCAGATTACCAATTATTAATTCTGACTGTATATTTTTAATTATTTTTTCACCGCTTAAGTTATAGTGGAATGATAGTAAATAAATATACAAAGTTAACAAAGTAAAGCAGTTTTAGCCAAAATATATGATTTGAAGCCCAAAACACTGCTGAGATTAAATACCCGGTAGGGAAAATTCTGTTGGAATTATGTACTCATGTTATATGCCAATATTTATATCGTGCTTCAAGGGGTTTTTTCTCATTTCATATTTTTTTCCTCTGGTTAATTGCCACACCTTCCTTTTACGATAAACTCTTAAGTAGTTTATTTTATACTTCATAAAAATTATATTTAATCTAAATAAGTTCGAATTAAAATTTTAATCTCTAAGATAACCTTCTTATAGAGAGAATAGCTAATATTAATTAAAACAGAATTAATATGCTGGAAATGACGTTGTTTGCTTGTGACTGTTATTTCCTACTATACATACTACATACATATGTGTTGTATGTATGTATGTTTCTATAATTATGGTATATTTGTCCACTTAATAATACCAGGTAAAAGTATGTATATACATGACTAGCAACATTTATATGCAAATAAACTTTATCTACATATAAAAATCAGTAGATTAAACACTTTTTGCCGGGGAACACCAATAAAGTTTTGATATATACATAAATATATGCACACATGCAAAAAGTACGTGCATAATCGCAAAATAATTATTTCGATATTTTTTCTTGCCAATTTTGATGGAGACGGTAAGTGATTTGCAAAATAGTGTCCCGATTGTGAGAATTACGGGGAATCAAAAAATACCAAATGACGCTGTTAAAAAATAAGTACATATATGGCTATATACTTCCATGTATGAAATCTGAATGACACAAGATCTGCTCGATATTTTGGCATTCAACAAGGACAATTAAAACGAAAAAGACATAATAAATTAATATTCAAAGTGAAAAATCAAGAAACACGTCAACTTCAGCTGCACCGAAAGCTACAATACCCTTCACAGGTGCATTGAATTTGATAGACTAATTTGTATGGCAACTATACGCTATAGTGGTTCGGTCTGAACAATTTTTTCAAAAATTGTAGCGGTGCCTTGGATAAAAATCAAAGCCA